GAAAAACTGATATAAGATGTCACAGTGTTTAAATAACAGTTATGAATTATGTTTAGGAAAACATGTAAATGTTTTGATTTTAGTCTTTTAATATAAATTTTACACAATATTGTAGGTTTAGTTCATACTAGGTTAGTGCTCACTGTGTATTTTATATCTGACATGTTACCACATACGGTACCACGTGGTGAGTATGCTTCATTAGACTGATACTGCATTAAATCTCTGTGTAACGGTGTCTTGTATGTAAGACCAAATGCATGAATGTATGTAATGAACTGCAACCATAAATGGCAACTTATAATGAAATGTCTCTTTGGGTAAGTTAAGGGTTAAGTGTGCTCTCCAGAGTGCCCTGCATTGAGCTGAAGAAACTATTGTGGAAGGTAAGTGATTTAAAAAAATGGGCACTACCGTTAGCCTGTGGTTTTATGTACACCGTGATTAGCATGAAACTGTTGAATTCACAGGGAGAGTAAAACGGTTTGCAATTGATAACAAGTCTCAAGGTCTGCGGTACATGTCTTCTGTAGCACTGTGACATCTGTGCTCCAACCTTCATTTATGTAGAAGCAGATTCCACCTCCTCTTGTTTTGTGCTCCTTTACACGATCTGCTCTGTACACCTAGAAGCCCGGTACATGAATCGCGCTGTCCGCGATCGAGTCGCTGAGCCAGGTCTCCATGAAGCACAAAGCAGCAGAGTGTGCAAAGTCAAAGTTAGTCCTGTTGACGAGAAGAATTTCATCCAATTGACCAGGGAGCAGAGATTTGCCAGGTAAATAGATGAGAGTGAGGTCCATTTTCCCCTCTGTCATAACTGCACCAAGGCGCCTGCCCATTTTCCACGCCGGTGGCATTTTTTCCAGGTCCCGTAAAGTGCTGCTGCGCCTCCGATCAGAATGTCCATACAGCATTCTTCGTTCACAAAAATCGGAGGAAGGTAGTTTGGTGTGAGTTGTCCGATATTTAACAGTTCTTCTCTGGTAAAAGGGATGAGTTGCAAAAGACCAAGAAAACAAAGAAAAACAACAAACACAAGAGTACGCGAGTAACCACGGCCACTATCGCTGTCGGCGCCGGAAGGAAAGGAAAAAAAACCAAAACTTTTCTGTACCCATTCAAAATAAACTTTGCATTAGCTAGTGATATTAATGTTATCTTTCAAATTTCACTGCCTGCCCAAAATATAAGCCACTGAGAGAAAGAGAGAGAGACAGAGAGAAAGCAAGCAGTGGTGGCCAAATAAGCTTGAGAGTGAACAAAGAGAAGGAGAGGCGTTAGTGAGAACAAAGCAGTGAATCTGAGAAAATGTGTGTTGTGCGTTATGCTGTAGTACAGGAATCTTCTTGACCGTGCCCTAACTGGCAATTTGACCAGTTCAGTTCAGACATGTTATCCAGTTAGAATGCAGCAGGCTGTTTGACTAGGTCTGACCAGATGTTTTGTTCAAACAGGGAAATGTCTGAAAGGAGCTAAAAGAGAGATCGGGAGGGTAGTGTGATGGAGTTGGTTTCAGACTTAGTTTGTTTCAAGCACACTGAAGTCTTAATGGTCTAACATTTTTACCCACTCACAGTCCAACCTGAGTTTAAGCTGCAGCTGTTTTCTTATAGTGCATTGAATACATTTCATAAGGACTGTAAAAAGACAAAGTGGGAGGAATTATTTAACTGTCTACACAGGTGGGAGGTGACTGGCAACTGTAGCACTTTAAAGCAAGGGAGTGTCCCCATGGGATCACAAGTAGAAAAGATGAGACACTGTGCTGCAACTTTTACATATGGCAGCTTAAAATAAAAATCACAAACAGATTCTAGTCCAAGTTACCAAACTCAAACTTGTGTTTCTGTTACTATGACAAAGCGTTCAGGGCTTCAGGGCTGGTGTGTTGTCCATAGCAATAGCTGCAGATGCTCATGGGTACTTGTAGTATTTAGAACACTTTTACATACTGACCTGTTTAAAAATGGTAATTTTTCAGAAACAATCCGGAAATATTCATACTAGGGGTGTGTGATGCATATAGTCTACAGTAATATTTTAATTGTTGTTTTAATGTGTGAGCTGACATTACACTTTCAGATTACTGCGTGTGTGTATTGAGAGGGTATGCAGTATGTACATGGTCACTGCACCACAAGCTAGCATAGCTACCTAAAAATGCATTAGTTGAAAATGAGTGAACAAACAGCCTTTGCTGGTCCAGGGCCCCTCAGCTCCAAACAAAATTTTGTTGTACGTGTCACAAAGTTACAATGACAATAAAATAAAGCTGCTTCTTCTTAATGAAGTAAAGACCCAAACAGAGAAACACACTGAGACAGATGAAGGTCCATACCATAGTCTTCCAGGATCTGCTTCTGTAGCTGTGGCAGGGGCAGCCTGTCCTGAGGAGAACTGCTGCCGTCATCATCAAAACACACCTGGTTCAACTGCAGGGACAAATCGTGGTATAGACTATGTAAAAATACCGCAACTTTGGTTTGAAGGGGGACTGCTCTACAAAAACAACACTTTAAGGCTGTGTTCAGACTGAGTTTCAAGGGTGTGGGGAATTAGGTTATGGGGGATTAGGTTCACCACAGCACAGCACTGCAGGGGACTCCAGCAAAACAATGGAACCCCGTGTGGTGAAAAAGTTGGATCTGGTTCAATTTTTCCTTCACCAGACGGTGGCATCATCTGGCAAAGGCACTGCGCTGACCACTCATGTACAGATGACAATTGAAATGTCAGCACCCATAGGAAGAAAACCTTTACCTTGTTAGCATGCACATTCACTGCTATTTACTGTCAAATTCAGGCCACAGTTAATACACAATAACGACATTCTGTTTATTTTCATTAGTTAGGGTACTGAATATTAAACAGTGTTTTTTTTATCTATCAATGCAGACACACAATGCAGTGGTAGAAATTAGTGCTAAGGTAGAGTAGACTACATTTCCAGCATGACTAACTAAAATACAACAGAAGCTCACTGGCTGGAAATGTGAATGAAACCACTCACATGAACTCATCCCACCATCATGCATGCCTACAACACTCCCCCTTCAACCCCTCACCCCCTGACCAACACAGCCCATTGCGGTAAAAAAACAGCAAAGAGTTGCATTTTTGCAGGATCTGTGTGAATGTACGGAAAGAGAGCAAGTGATCTACATGAGTCAGAGGACTGCCAACAGTAAGGCGTTACAACTAACTAAGCTTAGATGCTCATCTCTAAACTGGGAACTGGCTTTAACCTCACAAATAAATCAAAAATTTAAGAAAAGTGAAAGTATATTGTACCTTAAGCCAGAGGTAATCTTCAGTCTTGTCTGCCACCTCTCCATGGTTATCACTGATGTCACACTTGCCAATCAGGCAGTACACGGCTCTCTTGTAGGGGTCAGCGCTGTTCCTTAGCACTCTACGGTAGTGGAGACGAAGCTTGTTCTCTGAAATTGGGGAAAGGCTGAAAAGATAAATAAAAGGAGAAGGGAGAGGATTTAAATCCAGTTTGAACCTCCTTGACCCATGTAGGCATCAACACATCAAACAAAAAAGCTTAAGTTGAAGGGTGCTCACCGCCTGTCAGGGCTCTTCATGTACTCCTGGAACCAGGTCTTGAAGTCTCCTAGCTGATGCTGCACTCTGTTCACCACCTGCATGGCTGCATTCAGATCTCCGCAGCGCAGACAATAGTAAATGACAGCCCACACTGGGTGGCCCTCTATCTCACCATCCTGTTGTGAACACAGACATTTCAAAAAATTATTTTGTCCACCATAGTGTGCCTTTGGCTGTGTGTAGTGCATGATCAGGATTAACATGTCAGTCTGACCAGTAACTGGCCTCCACAGGGATTCAGCAGTAATATGTAAGCAACTAGACTTTGTTAAGCCACATGACAACATGGTCAGCAGTTCGATTCCCATTCTCCCCCCAGTTCACATGTACAAGACACTGAGCCTCCAGGTTGCTCCTGATGGCCAGGTCAGCATCTTGCACGGACAACGTTAATAATAATAATAACACTTTATTTATATAGCACTTTACAACTCCAGCAGAGCCCAGAGTGCCTCACAGCAGAACATGTATAACTGCTAAAAAACACTACTAAAACAATAAAACTTAAACAAAATAAAACACAGAATTTTAAGGCAGAAACAGTAAAAAACTTCCATATCAGGATACAACTAAAACAAAACAAGTTAAAAATGTCTCTTCGGAGGAGGTAAGACAGGTTAAGCACTAAAAGCCTGTCTAAAAAGGTGGGTTTTCAGAGTTGACTTAAAAGCCACCAGCTCTGTTATGGACCATAGCTCTGGCGGTAGAGAGTTCTAGAGCCTGGGGCCATACACAGCAAAAGAATGATCGCCCATTTTTTGTATCGAGACCGTGGGACAACCAAGGACTGATGTTCTGAGGAGCACAGAGCTCTGTGCGGAACATAAATAGACAGAAGATCAGACAGGTATGGAAGAGTGAGGCTATTTATAGACTTAAATATAAATAGTAGCACCTTGAAGTAAATTCTAAACTGTACTGTCAACCAGTGTAGTGAGAGAAGAACGGGGGTGATGTAGGCGTACCTGGGGGTGTTCGACAACAGTCGAGCCACAGCATTCTGGACCAGTTGAAGCTTTCGGAGAACAGACTGAGAAATTCCCACATAGAGGGCATTACAGTAGTCAAGTCACGAGGTGATAAAAGCATGGATAGCTTTTTCTAAGTCTTCATGCAATAAGAAGGGCTTTACCTTCGTTAGGAGTCTCAGGTGAAAAAAAGCTAGATTTAACCATGGACCTGATCTGCTTATCGAAATTTAGGCCGCTGTCAAATATCACGCCAAGATTTTTCACGGTATCCGTGAATGAAGGGGCTGAAGGACCTAAGGTTGATACAATGGTGGCGGGATCAGAGCTAAAACCAATGTATTCAGTGTTGCTCTCATTTAAATGAAGGAAGTTCTGCAACAACCACTGTTTGACATCGCGAATACAATTATGCAGCGGGGCAAGTGCGTTAGACTCGCATTGTATCAACGGCACGTAAATTTGAACATCATCTGCATAAAAGTGAAAATGAACATTATGTCTTGATATGATTGAACCAAGTGGTGACATATATAAAGAAAAGTTCTTCCTGACTCCATACCAACTCATGAGGACCCATTTCACGGTGGGGACCTAAATTGAGGTCCCCATGGGCAAGAAAAATTGACTTTTAGGGTGGCAACATGGTTTAGGGTTAGGATGAGGTTAGGGTCAGGGTTAGGGTTAGGCAAGTAGTGGTTCTGGTTAAGGTTAGGGTTAGTCTACAGGAAATGAATGTACACAGAATCACTTATTCCAGAGTGATCAACCTGTCACCAGTTAAAGCCGATCACTCTTAAAACCATCCCTTTCTGATCGCCGCCAATTGATCTACCGCTAATGTTGTTACTGTACTGTAGATGAATACAGAAAAAAGTTTAATCATAGGGATAAATCGTATTGCTGTCCTGTACATGGGCACAGCCTTTTCCAATAAACTAATCAAGTATCAAGTGATAGACACAGATATCAATGAGCTAGGATATTACTGTAGATTAGGATCCTGATATTTGGCACCTTCAGGTATGTTCTACACGAGTTATAACAAGCAGGTTTACCAAAGCACCTGACAAGTAGCAAAATTTTGTCACATGTCAGGGGCAGGCAATGTTTTCTTTACCCTTAAGCATTTAAATATATGTGTGTGTGTTACCTGCATGCCAGGCAGGGGTCCTGGTTGTTTAATGTTGAGGAAGCTGTGGACTAGTTGGTATGTTCCTGGCACCCCACCTAGTTGGGCCTGATGGAGGTTCCCAAACACAGTAACCATGGCGTAGTTTTTATAACTGCAGAGAGAGAGACACATACACACCATGCTGCAATTCAGTTTAATTGTAGACTTGCTGTATATCCAGTACTACTTTGGTCCACTAAAAGCATCCATAGGAAGACTAACTACTGGACGCTTGGAAACAAACAAAAACAAGCACAGTCACCCATTCTCAAGGAAGCTCAGCGCCTGGTGCACAAAGGCCATCTGCATTTCAACAGAAATGCGACTTTTGAGGGTGTCTTTAGCTGGAACCAGCAACACATCGGTCATCTGCTTCACCATCAGCCACATCTCTGATACATTCTGAAGTGAAGAGAGAGGGTGATGGGCAAAGGTGCATGCACAGAGAAGGAGTAACACTAACCTAACAATTTTTTGCAGGACTTAAGTAAAACCGTTACATCTGAAACTTCATTTCAGTTCATTTCATGCTGACAGCAGATGTGACAAATCAACCTTCTTACCTTGTCATCCAGGACTTCTGCCACAGAAGCACATAAATCCCCTAGATTTGGCTGGATGTGACCATTCACTATCTTTTCATTGAAAATGTAGATCTGAAAAAGGCAGACAAAAAATAAACAAAAAATAAAAAAGATTCAGGGCTGAATACAATATCGACCTAAATATTCAAATGCCCATTTTCAACATTTCCAAGTTAATGAGTACATTTTGAAATCTGCCTCCAACTTCATCCTAAGCTCCTAAAGTAAATACAAACACTACGGCCATCACGTGAAATGGTTCACAGCAAAAAAAAAAACAGGAAGGAAAGAATCAAAATGTTTAACAAGATGTCAGACAGAATAACAAAAAACAGACAAATGACTCCACAAGCAATGTGTTGGCACACAGTCAGAGGAAAAGCCACATTTAAAAAACTGCGTCAGAGAACAAATCACACATGAACACACAGAGAAAAGACAAGGTCGGACAGCAAGATGAGGGGAAGAGATGATGATGATTATTAACCAGAGTTCCCCCGATCACCCGTTCAATGAGTATGTTTGATCTGCCAGCTGATGGCATGCTGTGATCCCGATTTAACTCAATAATCAGACAAGGCATCACAAACAGATCGGATGCATCTGAGTTAGAATGGACGTGTGTTTAAATCACTTCAGCTTGAGTCAGTTCAAGCGGCTTTCTGTCATTCTACAGCAAATAAATTTCATAGATGAACATGTAACTAAAAGTGGAAAAGCTTCTCTGGACTGATGAGACAACAACTGAACCCTCTGGTCACTGTAAAGCACCTCCTTTTCGATATCAACTGTGGCAACATTTCCCTTAATTTCTATTTTTTGCCACAGATGACTATTGTTAATAAAATTACTTGCTTATTACAGATATGCCTGTAAAAACTTATATGCTGGCTAATAAACAGCAGTTCAAAAGATACATGTGTGATCGTTTGTCGATCAGAGAGCATTGATGCACTGAATGTAAAATATCTTGCTCAGTACATCTTCATCACAAATCTTTATTATATATATATATGTGTGTGTGTGTGTGTGTGTGTGTGTGTGTGTGTCAGTGCACATTAAAATGATTAAGCTGACTGTTAACTAACCTGTCGTCCATAAGCCACCTCCACGCTGTCTAACACACTCCTTCCAGGAGCGGTTACTTCACTGATCAAGCTTGGCTGTAACAGACAGAGACCACAGATGACTTTAAAGGTACACTGCACATAAGCAATTAGCATAAAAGTAACTGAAATACACTTAAATTAAAACACTGCCCATGTACCAATGAAAATGTCAACTGTGTCTAATGCAACATTATCAACTAGATGACACTCAGAGAGCGCAAACCTCCACCAAGGCAGCTCGCTGTCCTCATAACGCCATTCTACCTAAAAGCAATATTCCCATGATAGTATGACTCTCATATTATGATTCCTTGACCATGAAAACCTGCCTCTAGCATGAGGAATCACACTGATATCATTATTAGTTTAAAGGTTATTCAAGAAAAAGGATATTTCAGTAATTGTGGTTTTCTTCATGATCAAGCACAGTAACTTTTGTACATATGTCAAATCTGTGGAGGCCCTACTGAGTCAGCCGTTTCAGCTACAATTTGATATTAGTTGGATGTCTGTAGCATTGTGTCTCTCACAGTACAAATGCCAGTAAAAACATTACCCACGCCCCTGCAAATGCCATTAAAAAAAAAAAAAAAAAAAACCAAACTGTAACCTCGGCAGCGGGAAAAAAATCGGCAGTGGTAAAAATATGATGAAATCAAATACTTTATTTCAAAATAATGTTTTAAAATCTTTATCAAAATCTGCCCATTTACCTGTATTTTCCTGGTAGTGGTAAAAAGTATCTAAAATTTATCTTTTTTTCATGGCAAATATTCTGCATTTTGAGAATCTTTTCAGCCCAGACAGACAAAGGTGTCCACACCTATTGCCAGTACATACTGGGATATGCTCCCACTAGATGACACATGCTAAAAGAGATGACGAAAAAATAGTACCCACAAGTCTAAGATCAAGCAGTTATTCTGGTAAGTTTAGATGAGTGTAATGTCAAGAAATCTTCTTTTTTGACCCAACACGTATTTGTTAAGCAGACAAATTCAGTTCAAGAACTTAAAATATAGATGTTTGTGTGATAACATAAACTGGAAGAGAAATGTTATGTTTGCATATTTTTGCAATCAATCAATTTTATCAGTCCACAACACTGATTGATAATAAAATGGGTCAATCTTATTTGATAAGTTCACTATATTGCAAACACAGTGAGAAGTTAACTAATTGTAAATTATCAGACTGTAGAGAACTGACTCTGGAAGTGAAGCATCAAATCTCTATCCGCACCAAACAGAGCCAAAAATTGACATTTCTTCTGGTCTTTTCATTATTAAATAGCAACAGTGGTGGACCTGCCACTTACAGTGCCTTGCGAAAGTCTTCGGCCCCCTTGAACTTTGCGACCTTTTGCCACATTTCAGGCTTCAAACATAAAGATATAAAACTGTAATTTTTTGTGAAGAATCAACAAGTGGGACACAATCATGAAGTGGAATGAAATTTATTGGATATTTCAAACTTTTTTAACAAATAAAAAACTGAAAAATTGGGCGTGCAAAATTATTCAGCCCCCTTAAGTTAATACTTTGTAGCGCCACCTTTTGCTGCGATTACAGCTGTAAGTCGCTTGGGGTATGTCTCTATCAGTTTTGCACATCGAGAGACTGAAATTTTTGCCCATTCCTCCTTGCAAAACAGCTTGAGCTCAGTGAGGTTGGATGGAGAGCGTTTGTGAACAGCAGTTTTCAGTTCTTTCCACAGATTCTCGATTGGATTCAGGTCTGGACTTTGACTTGGCCATTCTAACACCTGGATATGTTTATTTGTGAACCATTCCATTGTAGATTTTGCTTTATGTTTTGGATCATTGTCTTGTTGGAAGACAAATCTCCGTCCCAGTCTCAGGTCTTTTGCAGACTCCATCAGGTTTCCTTCCAGAATGGTCCTGTATTTGGCTCCATCCATCTTCCCATCAATTTTAACCATCTTCCCTGTCCCTGCTGAAGAAAAGCAGGCCCAAACCATGATGCTGCCACCACCATGTTTGACAGTGGGGATGGTGTGTTCAGGGTGATGAGCTGTGTTGCTTTTACGCCAAACATAACGTTTTGCATTGTTGCCAAAAAGTTCGATTTTGGTTTCATCTGACCAGAGCACCTTCTTCCACATGTTTGGTGTGTCTCCCAGGTGGCTTGTGGCAAACTTTAAACGACACTTTTTATGGATATCTTTAAGAAATTGCTTTCTTCTTGCCACTCTTCCATAAAGGCCAGATTTGTGCAGTATACGACTGATTGTTGTCCTATGGACAGCGTCTCCCACCTCAGCTGTAGATCTCTGCAGTTCATCCAGAGTGATCATGGGCCTCTTGGCTGCATCTCTGATCAGTCTTCTCCTTGTATGAGCTGAAAGTTTAGAGGGACGGTCAGGTCTTGGTAGATTTGCAGTGGTCTGATACTCCTTCCATTTCAATATTATCGCTTGCACAGTGCTCCTTGGGATGTTTAAAGCTTGGGAAATCTTTTTGTATCCAAATCCGGCTTTAAACTTCTCCACAACAGTATCTCGGACCTGCCTGGTGTGTTCCTTGTTCTTCATGATGCTCTCTGCGCTTTAAACGGACCTCTGAGACTCTCACAGTGCAGGTGCATTTATACGGAGACTTGATTACACACAGGTGGATTCTATTTATCATCCTTTGTCATTTAGGTCAACATTGGATCATTCAGAGATCCTCACTGAACTTCTGGAGAGCGTTTGCTGCACTGAAAGTAAAGGGGCTGAATAATTTTGCACGCCCAATTTTTCAGTTTTTTTATTTGTTAAAAAAGTTTGAAATATCCAATAAATTTCGTTCCACTTCATGATTGTGTCCCACTTGTTGTTGATTCTTCACAAAAAATTACAGTTTTATATCTTTATGTTTGAAGCCTGAAATGTGGCAAAAGGTCGCAAAGTTCAAGGGGGCCGAATACTTTCGCAAGGCACTGTACTTTAGGAAACCTGCAGTCGCATGAAAACATAATGGCGCTGTTTACAATTTTCTGGTTTTCTGCATATATTGGTCATGAAATGTGATCTGATCTTCACAAAAGTCACAAATATCAACAAACACAATATTTCTAGGCTGATAAAACCTCCATTCTCATTTTATTTATTAGACTCCAGGTTTGCTAACACCTGACTCCAGCTGACTATGTTTAATGGGTGTGTTCAATAAAAACATGAAAGATCATAACTGTTTTATCAGCTTAGAAATAGTATTTGATATTCGTGACTTTGATGAAGATCAGATCACATTTCATGACCAATTTATGCAGAAAGCCTGGAAATTGCAATCAGTAGAATTCATTTTTCTTGCAACTGTATTAATTTGTTTTATAGCAGATCTTGTCAAACAGAGGAAGGTCTGTGTAGGGCTGGGTCCATGAGGCAGTGAATTCTACAGCCTCAATTTAGCAGACATTCCAATAAAATATCCGCTCAACAACACAAGTTATGCTGTCTTGAGCAAGGAATCTACCCTTCAAGTGTTCTGCAAAACCACAATGAGCTTTCCCATCAGGTAAGCCAGTATAATAATAATAATAATAATAATAATAATAATAATAAA